CTTGATTTAAAGGATCCTATAGTCCACCCTCACAGTCCAAGTCCTCTGTCAATATATCCTGCAACCCAAACCATTCATAAAGCAAATTTATTATGGATCAGAGTCAAACTGATATACAAATTTTCATAGAAATCACTGTCTTGTACAGATACTAGATACTGGGTCTCATCTGCCTGTGGTGGGTGAATCCTCTGAGTCCTGCCACAGAACAGGGGCTTAAATTGTGTTTGGGTGTGGTAGGGGCGTCGGAGGTCTAAGCAGTGCCTCTGGATGGAAAGCAATTCTGTCAAGGGATTGTCTGGGCTGCGTGAGCAGGACAGGCTCCTGGAAATGACTGTCAGTCACAGGACTAGCAGGGTGAAGTCAGAGAGATACAAGTTTGGTGGGAGAACTTTTTGAATGGCAAAGCAGTGTGTTTTCTGGGAACACAGAGGTCTGAGGCAGGAGGATATGGATCTTTGGGGGCTGGGAGTGTAGGGGAGCTATTATGTGTGAGAAGGGAAACCCTTTTGAATATATGGAAACTGCTCATAAAACCTGTGAGAAAAATAGCCTTTTAAACCTCCATGTGGCAAATTATACTCTACAAACTTGAAGCCTTAATTTGTGAGACTCATGCTCTGGGAGGCTGGGGAATGCAATTCAGTAATGTATTTGTGATCAGCACTGGAGGAAGGTGCCAGACCTGAAGAAAACTGTGGGACAGATAGGGAGATGTCATATTCTTGTCACCCTAAAAAAGGCACACTTGCCCAGTCCTTTAGCCAGACTGCTCCTGAACACTCATTTGTGTTTGCAAGTAGGCAGCAGAAGTGCTCCCATTTTGTCCTTTTGCACTGCCATCAGGCTGTGGCAGGCTCAGGAGACCTTGTCATCTGTGGGCTGGTTGGGAATCATGGAGTTCATTGCTGAGGGAGTTTGTATTGATATGTGCTGCGAGTCCAGTCCAGTCCTGACATGCTGGCAATGCTGTGGACAGGAGCAACACCTCAGGCTTATCATATGTGTTTGCTAAGGGAATCTAGAAAGTCAGCTAGTTAAGATGGTCTGTTCTTCCTTAAAGCTCTTTCAGACCACATGTATTTCTCATCAGAAATTATGATAAAGAAAATTAAGATCATATTAAGAAAATTAAATAACAA